TGTCCTCTTGTGTCTATTAATTGGTGGTTCCTACACTTACATTGTCTTGTTGGCTAAAGTGGTTGACCCACCAGCTAGACTGGTGCTCCTCCAGAAAAGAAGCTATGTCCTAAGACATGGTCTCATGTCTTAACTGCCCAAACTCATAAACTAGACCATGTGCACACACTCTTGTATCCTTAACAGGAGTACTTCTTCCCACTCCCTTTCTAGAGACTCCTGGGCTGGCCAAGGGTAGAGCTCTGGCTCTGGCATCACCTGAATGACCAGTAAAGCTCCTAAAGATGAAAAGGTCTCCTGTGGCCTCAAAGAGTTAAAATATCTCCTGGAGAGTCCAATTTCCACAAAGCTATCTCTTTGAAAGCCAAAGTTAGAAGAGATAATACACCCCTAAATCAGAAAATCCAGTTAAAAGTCAGTTGAGCTCAAGACAAAGAAAGAATGTTGGCAAACAGAATGCTTTTTCTATTAAGTGGATTAAGTTGGTGACTTAGGGACACAAACAGGACTCTAAATCTTGATAACTTTGGAATCAGATACCTGGAGTCTGGGTATTGTAAGTAAACGTGTCTGTGGTCTGGGGAAAAGCAGGCTGGGAAGCTCCAGGTAAGGCCACTCCATCTGGTCATGGAGGAGACTGGTGGGTGGTAAATGAGTCCTCTTGGCTAAAACTCTCCCCTGGGCCCCATTTGCACATTCACTCTGTGTGCTGACCAAGAGCAGGCAGGTCCTTAATACCAAGACCCAGACCCAGGCCTCATACTTGGCCTGAAATTTAATAAGTTTATAGAATTCTGGGTGTTCCCAGAGCTTGATAGAAACCCCACATTTTCATTTCTTATGAAAATTCCTTTCAGAATGACCTATTTAAGACAGATTTAGTCAGCACCAGTCTTTCTTTGCATAGAGTCTGCATTGCCATATGGACCGCATGTCCAAAGAGGGGACAATAATAATAGTCATCATTTAGTGGGTATTGTCACTGTGCCAGACAAGGCATTAGGGCATTTATGAACACTATCAGTTCCGTAAAAGGTGAGTGTCATTATCTCCATTTTGCGGAGTAGCAAATAGTGGTTAAGAACCTTAAAGCAACCAGACCTGTTTTTAATTCCAACTCTACCACCTTTTCATTTCAATCTTTCCTAAGGGTTTACTGTGTGCAAGCATTGATCTGGGGAGGCCACATCCGTGGACAAGACCAGTAAGACTGTTGCCACTACTGAGTTGATATTTTGTAGTGGAGTGGGAAGGTAATGAAGGGGAGAGACCGATAAAACAGATGATAAACAAGATAATTTTTAATAGGGCAATTTTATATAAAAACAAAGTGATGTGATTGGGAGGGTGGCCAGGGAGTAATATGTCCCTGGTCACAAACCACGTATTTGCTGGAAAAAGCTATTCTACTTTTCTGGGCCTCATCCATGCAGTGGCTAATAGCACCCATGTGACCATCACTGTGAGGGTTAAGCAAGCTTCGAAGTTCCAGCACACAGTAGGTACTTGGTAAGCGCTGGCTCATTGCTATTATTAGGTTAAAGGACTTACTCCAAATCATTCCCACTCACAACTGTTACCTTCAAATACACTTGTCCTTGATTATATATTATCTTGTTCATTTCCAAGTCGTTAGTGTGGGGGTTTGGGTGTTCACTGTAATCTTGTATACTTTGCTCTAGTTCCTCTCCCTAGGCCCCCTGGCTCAGCAGTGCCAGAACAAAAGCCCTGAAAATCTGAAAGGTGCTGCTGGCTCAGAATGGGGTGAGAGGGAGGGAAGGACAAAGAGAGGAAGAGCGAGAGGGTGGAGGAGGCGGAGGGCCTTGTTAAATACAAGTGTTTCACTAAGAAAAGTGGGGACATCTATTATTCAGTCAACAGAGACCAGTCTATCAGATTATGTCCCAGGAGGTGAAATCTGAAGAGCAGGGTAGCTTCCGGAAGGACTTGGAAGAGTAGGTGAGGAGGAGCCAGTCGGTGTAGACCAGAGGATGCAGGAGAAGGAGCTGAAAGGAACCAAAAGGAAATTATCTGTCCTCGGGAGTCTCCAGAGCCCACTGAGAAGCCCCTGTAGAAAAAGCCAAGGGGCAGAGGAGAGGCTGCTGGTGGTGCTGGCCAGAGCCTCGCACTCCAGCCCCAAGGGCTGGCAGCAAGGGCTGCCTTCTTTTTCTTCAGGCTCGGAAAATGCACACAGCTTTGGGGCCAGAAAGATTAGAGTTTAAATCTAGGTCTACTGTTTTCTACCATTTGGACCTTAGGAGGTTACTACACTTTGCTGAACCTTTGTTTGTCATTTATAAAATGGAATTTACTGAGTTCTTACCAGGTACTGTACACATTCAGTGCTCAATAAGTAAGTCTCCTCCTTTCTTTGCTCTGAGGGCCAGTAGACTAGCAAAGCCCAGGTTTAAATGATCTGGTCTCCCACATGTTTAGAATATGGTTATAATACTTATTGCCTGTGAGGAATTTAAAGAGCATGCTAATGAGTCTAGATAATGCTACTGGGCATGATATTCATTCATTCAATATACATTCTTTAAGTTTCCTTTGTATGCTATGTCTGGGGATGCCAGGATGAATGGAGTTCAGTCCCTACCATCCAACTCTCAAGTCTCAGATCTCATGGTCTAGCTCATAAAGCAGACTGAGAATGAACGATGACCACACCTTAATTAGGGCTGCGTTAGAGGTGTGAGACATATGCATGCACAGAGGCAAAACATGCATGATTCTATCTGGAGATGTCAGGGAAGACTTTTAGGAGGAAGTGATATTGGAGCTGAAAAATGAATAGTTTTCCAGGGTAAGTAAAACGTTATAGAAAGGAGATACTCCAGGCGGTGATCACAGCCAATACCAAGGCCAGGAAGGGAGAATGAGCAAGGGTTCAGCATGGCTGGAGCTCAGGGCAAGGTGGAGGAGTGACGATGAAGGGAGATTGGGCTGCCATGCAGGAGTTGTCCAAGGAACAGGGCCTCAGAGAGGCTCTTGTGTGACCTGAAGGGCTCCCTACCCTGTCAAGGGAACCAATGGACTGTAAAAGATAAGTGAATAAATGAACACTGAATCAATGAATAAATGAATCATCTATATGACACTTGACAGTTCACAAAGTGCTCTTGTATAGCTTGTTTCACTTAAAAGATAGGGAAATTATTGTACTTACAAATGAGTTTTTAAAAATCTTTCCACATGGCATCATCTATGGAACCTGACATCACTCAGCCTGGAACCACTTCATAAATAGTGGTGCTGCCGTGAGGAGAGAGGGTGGAGGAGCATCTCTGTGAGCCAGGGAGCTCTCCTGACTTCAACACCTGCAAGGCCAGCCCACAATCCTGGTTCACACTCTGGGTTGGTGCCGACATACTGCATGGCCCTCAGTTGACCTTCCATGAAGTCCTAACTCTCTCCATGAAAAGGCCTACATCTCCACTGATAGCTGGGAGCTAAGAAATTGGAGATACTCACATCTGCAGTGCAACAGAGAGACCATAGCCCAGCACAGCAGGCAAAGTTTGTGCTCTGGACCTGGTCTCTTCTCAGTATAATTCCACACACCACCACTTACCAGCTGTTTGACTTTGGACAAGTTATCTAAACTCTCTGAATCTCAACTTCCACAGGCTGAATTTTCACATACCCCGGCTTGTCCAGGGAGAGCCCAGAAGTATGCCTGTTGCCATGATGTAATCACTGACAGGGCCTCCTTTTATTCTCAGAAGTATCCCAGTCTAGATGATAAGTGATTATAAGACCACTCTACTCATCTGCCTCTGCTTCTCTTCTAAGGTTGCTAAGTAGGTGAAATGCATTAATGCTGTTTTAGGACAGTCTATCTGGCAGTATGAGAAAAATACAACTAACTAATGTAAACAGAGGAAATGTGTGACTCACATGACTGAAAAATAATTATTTTCAGTATCAGGCCAATGGTGTTTATATTTTGCATTAATGCCAGCAGTAGCAGTAGGCATTGCATTGTCAGCATGTAGTTCTTCCTCCCCAACCTCTTTAAAGCTAGTCTGAAAACTTGGTTACTTGTGAGCATGGGGAGGTAAACAGAACATGGGATTTGGAGCCAAGAAGACTTTCTGGCTGACATTGAATTTCCTTGGATATGAGTTCCCTTGTCACACACACATTCCTGGGCTTTTGTATGGATCCACTGAGACCCTCTACGTGGAACTGCTCTGCAGACACAAGGGTGAGCAAGTATAAAGGACAGCACAGCAGCTCAGAATAAAAGCCGCCTTGTTTCCTGACACTGAAGACTGACCTCTCATCTTAATCTTCTGTAGGGACCAAAGAATAATAAACACAACTGGGCTTCAGAAATGGTAACAATGGTGAGTATGATAGGATGTGCCCAGAAAATGAACTTGAAGGGAGAAGAGAAGATTGAGATAGGTTTTAGGGTTACTAAAACAATACAGTTGATAACTGTGATGATAAAGAATTCCTAATTATTAGGTAACTGGAGTGGTAGCAGACGGTGGTTAAGGAACACAGGCTTTACTTGAGAAAGCTTGGATTTGAAGATTAAATGGGATAATGCACAATACTGAAAGTGATTGATGAGAGAAAGCTATTACTGTGATTACTACTAGCTTACCATGTGTCAGGCACTGTGGTGGGTGACACCTCTCCAGCCTCTCAGCCCCGAATGCTAAGTGCCTCAGGGACTGGCCCTCACCTTCTTAGTTGCTGATCTGAACAAATGTCAATTACCTGAGCAATAGAGGGTGGCAATAGGTGATTCAGTGGGATCCAGGGTGGGATTATTTCCCGGACACCATGAATTTCCCTCACAGATTGCTCATGGAGAAAAAATTCCTACCAAGACGCAACATTTTTCTTTGGAATCGAGGATATTAGAGGCTGGAGGATTGCCAGGTGGAAGGGTCAGAGGAAGGAAGTCTGCCTACTTCCTGCATGCCAGAGGTGCTGCCTTGAGGTTTGGACAATTTTCCCTTTTGTTCACACTGTTGTGTCAGGGAAGCTCTGGACGAGTTCAGCAGACACGGAGGCAGAGCTAAGTCTGGCGCCAACTGCACCCTGGTGCCCCATGAGGCTGTACGATACTTCAGGTATGTCCAGCGATGCAGCGAGTGTCCATGGCGGCCTGACAGAGCCCTGCAGCTGCCAACTGCCCTTCCCAAAGTGGGTTGATCTCAAAGAAGTGGCACAGGGGAGTTCCTCTGTGGTTCTGTATGTTTGTGGTGATGGTTACGTGACTCTCTACATGTGAAGAAAATGCATACAGCACACACAAGTACACATAAAAACTAGTACTGTAAAATCTAAGTAAGGTCTATAGATTGCACCCAACTTACTAGTTTTGTTACAGTATTAAAGTTATGTAAAATGCTACCACTGGAGAAGCTGGGTGAAGGGTACATGGGACCTCTCTGTACTGTTTCACAACTTTCCATGGGTTTTTAATTATTTCAAAATTTAAAATTTTATTGAGTCAGGCTCAAAATGAGGTAATTTCCCTGTTTTCCATTATTTACCTTTGAGTAGATGACAGGATAATTTAATTAGATAATACACATAAAAACACCTAGAAAAATGCCTGCTAAAATAAGAAAAATGCATGGTAAGTATTGGTGCTACCTTCAAATTCACTTAGCCTACTTTCTTAGATGTTTCTTTTTAACACCATTATGGTCCTTACACTGCAGTCTTTGGAGGTAGACCCTGTAGTGAAACCAGCCCTGCTACACCTGCGGAACAGAACTTCTCAGTCTTTAATTGCAGAAAATCACCCAAGGGTCTTATTTAAAAATATAGGTTCTGATGCAGTTAGACAGTGCACAACAGATAGAGTTTCTGACTCCAGGAGCTTTAGTTGACACAAGATAAGCATTCTTATGCAGGTCTCTGCCATTAATGCTTCCATAGCCCAACCAGAGAGGACGTGTTTGGGAAGCCCTGTGGAAAGACGGTGAGGCCCCAGGTTAGTGATGCTCTCCTTGCTTCCCCTAGCAGGAAAAGCACTGGGGCCCGTGCTCCATTGCTCGCATATTATCTCATTAATTCTTATTTCTGCACTCTGTTACTGTGAACTTTGACCCCAGTGCTATGCTAGACTTGGAGAAAACAAGGAGGAATAAGCTATGCCCCCTGCCCTCAAGATGCTTCCAAGGAAAGTATATGAGTAGAGGTATACAATTTATAGGAATGCAGCGTGTGCTCTGGAAAACCCAAATGAAGATTTCAATCAGACCAGGGGTCAAGGAAGACTCAGGGCAACCCTCACACTGAATCTTTAAGAACAAGGCGGGTGAGCGGAGAAGAAGAGGAGCATCCTGCCAAGCAGGGGAGCACTATGAGCAGTGGTCTAGATGGTTGGGAGATGAGAATGGTTCCTTGGAAGGACCAGATGTGGGTGTGGCTGGAGCTGGCCTGGGTGTGGCAGGAGACAGGAGATAGCTCATAATAATTACTGGCTAAATTAGTTTGAGAAGTTCTGAGTTAAGCAAAATTAGACCCATTTTTTTTGCTGCAGGGCATCTCTGAGTCTCCCAAAAGGGTTATTATGCACAGCATCTGCCACCTTCATGTGACCAGAACCCTTTGTTCTAAGACATCCCAGGGAGCATGCATTTTCTTGAGCACACTTGGGGAACACTGGACCACTCAGACATTCTGACTAAAGTTAGTGTTTACCAGAACAAAAAGTTGTTTTTCGGAGAGTCCAGAGTGATGGAAAACCCCTGCTATTTCTAGAGCTTCATGGCTGATGACTGAATCATGCCATATTGGACTAGCTTCTCCAGCTGGGGTCTGCAGCAGGACTCCAGGGGACCTCAGGGCAGCATCTGCTGGTGCTGGGAAACCTGCCTGGCCACTGGGCGGCGTTAGTGCTCAGTCTCTTTTTCCCACCAACTCTTCTTCCCAGATTTTTGCAAAATTAGAGATAGATACGACATCTTGCACCGTGAAGGAAAATATTGAAGTGAAAAATCTTTTTGCAGTGATTACTCAAAAGAAGAACAATAAAAAATAAAAAATTAATCAAACCTTGAAATATAACCAGGGCTGGGGAATTTGTGAAATTGCATTTTGTTTTTATAATGACAGCAGGACTGACGATTTTTTATATATAGTTTTTAAAATGCTGGAGTGGGCAGAAAACACCCTGGAGTCAATTCAAGTCCTGAAAGTAAGTATCATAACAAATCACGAGCTCAGTCCTCCCTCCTCACCCCTCCCAGCTGCACTGCCCCACCCCCACAGTGCTCATAAATGCTTTCAACCAAGAAAAATATTTCTCATATGCCTTTGAGTAGAATTTACTGCCTTGTTCTCCACTAGCCCTTCCTCGATTATCAGCTCACTAAATATTTATGGTCGTTTTTCAAGGTACAAGTGCTCTAAGTTCAGTTTCAAGGCCACTGCCCTGATGAAATGCATGACCTTCAGGCCCACTCTTGTTTCACTGGTATTGCCTACGAGCCATCTCTGCCTACATGGTCTTCAGGCTTTATACTTTGCAGTTTTTATTCTTTCAAACAAAAGATAAATAGTAGTAGATTCTAGCTAAAGAAAAGATAGCATCTACCTTGAGTACTGGAAAAGGAGATTCATCAAAAAATATTGAGTGCCTTCCACATTTTGAGGTATAATCCTCGGTGGCAAATTTAAAGAATTGTTAGGTTAGAATTACAAAAGCATGGATACAGTCAGGATGGCTAACATAAGGAAGAGCCACCCCTATAATTCATCTGGCTGAGAGTAAATTGTGCCCTCATATTTCCTTAGCCTGTCAATTAAAATAATTTCTGCCCACTACTCTCTCATAAATTCAGCACTCCCCCAATATGTCATGTACCTGACCATCTTTGAAGAATTTGGGGTACAGGAAAGGAATGGGACACCAGGATATCCTCCTAAAGTTCAGGTCTAAACACCTGGGCATGGTGGGGTCGGTGGCAGTGACCAGAGGCTGAACGAGCACCCTCTCATGCCTCCATGCCCAGCTTCCTCTTTACCCGGTAGCACTAATGAGACACAATCTGAGTTATCTTCAGGGCCATTAGACAGAACCAGGCAATTTCACAATAAGATTTAAGGCAGTGGCAATAGGCTAGGACACACACATATACTGCCTATAAGCCTGGTCTTTTTATAGACTGCAGCACACCTGCTCACTAAGTCTGCAGAAACCTAAAACCTGAAATGTGGATACAAACAGATATGTTTTATTCCATGTGCTAAATGAAAAACTAATGAGGCAAATATTGTTTCCACATTCAAATTGGGAAAAAGTGGCAACCTCCATCTATATTATTACAATCATGAGGCAAGAATTGAGACTAGAGAACAAAGATAATCTATTTTTAAATTCCGTTGAGATAAAAATTGCAGTTGATTTTAGTTAGAAAGCAGCTTTTCTGAGGGCTGTGGAATAGGATTCCAGAAATAAATACGATTGTTCCTTGAATGAACCTGAGTGTGGGTGCTCACCTGCGATCCAGCCCCTTCCCAGGGCCTGTCTCTAAGTCCTGGATCAGTCAGAGGTGGCATCAGGCACCAGGGAGAGCTTCAGGCCAGGAGATCTGCAGCAAAGTTGTTGGTTTGTCAGTTTCGAGCCAGGGTGAAAAGAAGTCGAGCAGATGCCCAGATAGGAGCTTTGTAGGATTAAAATGCCTCTTGTTGCCTGGGAAGGTAGTGAACTACACCTGAAAGTCAGAAGATGTGAGGGTGAGAAGTTTCCTCACAGCATGGAAACAGCCTTTACCTCCAACATATAGACTAAGCCTGTGGATTTATGATAGGAGAGAAGAAACTGAATGGCCTTCAAACCATGAGGTCGCAGCAGAAGAGGGAAGACAGCCCAGGTTTGGATGGATGGAGCACTCAGGGGTCTGACTCCAGGTCAGCAGAGCAAGATTGAAATGCAGCTGAGCTCCCAGCACATGGCTCCTTTTCCTGCCATTCTAAGCCCATGGTGGGGTCGGAGCAGCTCTTCGAAGGGCTGGAAGGAGGAGATGTGGGAAGTGGCAGCAACAGTGCTGTGGCTGTGGATGCGAGCACATTACAGTAGGCAGGGATGGTGGGCTGCGCTTGGGTGATCCCAGGTGGGCGCAGGCACGGGGCCCATGCGAGAGGGTGAGTTCGGGATGCTAGAGACTAATTGAACAGGCTTAAACCTTCTGTATGAGAAAGCCATGGGGTGGCAAGGGGCATCACTTGGGTGGAGTCATCCATTCTTTTCTTTTTTTTAATTTTTTATTTTTATTGATTTTAGAAGAGAGGTAGGGAGAGGGAGAGAGAGAGAGAAATATCGATGAGAGAGAACATTGATTAGCTGCCTCCTGTACGACCCCCAATGGGGATTTGGCCCACAACCTGGGTATGTACCCTGACCAGGACTCAAACTGGCCACCTCTTGGTGCATGGGTCGATGCTCAATCACTGAGCCATAGTGGCCAGGCTGTCCATTCATTTTTTTAACCATATGCTGTCACGGGCACTACAAACAGACCACAGACTGGAATGTGCTTGCCTGCCTCCTCCAGCAAAGGCTATCCCTGGGGACACCCCACTGGTAGGAAACCCTCACCCAACACTTTCACACAACAGAAGGGCTGTGGGCTTCTGAGGATGGAATACTCCCCTTCCCAAGTGCCTCAGCCCACCAAGCCAGGGGCTCTCTCCCTGCGGCAAGGGAAGATCTGTGTCCTGAGACAAAGACCGGAACTGAACTGATTAATTTACTAGTCCTTTAAAATCAGACCCAGCTCCTAGAGTGAAAAACCAAAAAATAACAAATTGCCTTTTTTCTCTTTTAAATGGAAAAATGAAAGAGAAAAGAAAGAGAGAATCCGCAAAGTGCTGAACAGGGAGATGTTAATCTCTGTGGCTCTGGGCCAGGTGTTATCCCTCCTTATTTGTGGAATTGCTTGACCAGCAAGTACCTGTCCGAAGATTTACATGCCAATACACCAGTCTTCCAGAGTTTCCTGAATTACATCCTTCTCTTCTCGGTCTATACCACCACACTGGCTGTCAGGCAAGGAGAAGAAAACCTTCTGGCAATTCTACGACGAAGGTGGTGGAAGTACATGATCCTGGGACTCATAGACCTTGAAGCAAACTACCTGGTGGTCAAGGTCTATCAGTACACGACTCTGACCAGTATCCAGATCCGGTACAAGGCTGTGCATTTCATCGGCATCGTGGTCTGCATCCTGGGGATGGGCTGCATGGTGGGAGCCGACGTGCTTGTGGGAAGGCATCAGGGAGCAGGGGAAAATAAACTGGTAGGGGACCTTCTGGTCTTAGGAGGAGCCACACTCTACGGTATCTCTAATGTCTGGGAAGAATACATCATCCGAACCTTGAGCCGAGTGGAATTCCTGGGAATGATCGGACTCTTTGGGGCATTTTTCAGTGGAATTCAACTAGCTATCATGGAGCACAAGGCGCTGTTAAAGGTGCCCTGGGATTGGCAAATAGGCCTGCTCTACGTCGGCTTCAGTGCCTGCATGTTTGGTCTCTACAGCTTCATGCTGGTCGTCATCAAGAAAACCAGCAACACTTCTGTCACCCTCTCCCTGCTCACAGCAGATTTGTACAGCCTGTTCTGTGGATTGTTTCTCTTCCATTACAAGTTTTCAGGACTTTATCTCCTGTCTTTCTTCACCATCCTCATCGGACTAGTGCTTTACTCCTCCACCTCCACATACATAGCCCAGGACCCCCGGGGGTACAAGCAGTTCCTCAATCCTTCAGGACCTGTCGTGGACTTACCAGCCACAGCTCAGGTGGAGCCTTCTGTCACCTACACCAGCTTGGGCCAGGAGACCGGAGAGGAGCCCCACATCCGCGTGGCCTAGGGAGAGGCCCTCCCTACCCACTGAGCACTCAGTGGCCACGTGTTTGCCCATCATTTCTGTATTGTACATAGAGAAAGGTATTTATTAGGTGCAGTTGACACAAGTGGACTGCAAGGTAGCAAATCCAAAAGCATGTAAAAGGTACAAACTAACCATCCCTGGAGACACAGGCTCTGACCCACCTGACTTGGAGAGGTGCCTCGCATGTGTGTATCCTGATCATGATGCCCCTGCATTAATTACTGTGAAAATTTTTGAATCAAAAGCAAGTATTATTATTATTGATATTATTATTGTTACTCATATTACACCAACTTTCAGGAGGATGTTTTGTACTCCTGATGGAAACTAGTGCCAGACCCACATGCAATTAACATAAATCCCTCTTTTCTATGGAAGTCACTTTTTAAGAATCGCCGTTCAGTTTTTTTTGCAGTCTGTGAGTGCTGCACACCACAGGAGCTCCCCGCAAGAAGTCTTCTTATCCTAGGGACCTGGTGGCCAATGGTTTCCTCCGTTACCTATTGGATCGCCTGCTCAATAAGTATTTTGTGCTGTGATCCTTGTGGGGAGGGGCAACTGACCATATAATTCTCTATTCTGGGAATAGATGTAGAACAAACATGTCAGCCTTCTTCTACGTTGACCTCTGATTACTCCATTGCTGTTCTGCTGTGCCACCTTGGTTCTGCCAGTCAAGCTCCTGAAATAATGGGACAAGGGATGTTCCATCTCTGTGGCTTGTGGGACACCCAGGAGTAATGTAGTATGTGTTTATGGTAATGTGTATTTTTTAAAAATCTTTTCACCCCTCCCTATGTCCCCTCTTCAAAAAATAGATTTGCATTTTCTTTTTCCCTGAATTTCTTTGGTGATAATATGGAAATTAATCAAGGTGTTAGCAAAAGCCATGGTCCTCTGCCCTCTGAACTGAGGGACACTCTTTCTGAAACACACGAGCATGCAGCTGCCTGTGTTGTGGAGACGTATCGGCCACGTCGCCTCCCCAGTCCAGGTGCTCATATGGACAGGCTCTGACAGTGCTCGACTGATCTGGCCACTTTGTAGTGGGAAAGATGTCACCAAGAGAAAGCCTGGCATTTTGGTCATATTTGGCATCTGTTCCATAACAAGATATAACAACAATATATCTGTATTTTATGGATACAGAGAACATTCCTGGTCCTGGGAAGGCTCTGAGGGATGCATCACTACTCTAATTCTGTTAAAATAGCCCCTTTCCAAACACAGAAAATAAAAAAACACCACAAATCCCTATAATTTAGAAATACATTCTATGTGTCAGTATGTGAAATGGTCTTTACATTTGGCTGGCTTCAATGTTGTTCAAAAAAATCCTCACTAAAGGAAAAGTAAATGCTTATAAAATGTTGGGCAATTAAAATCAATGAATCGTAAGCAAATCACCAGAGGGGACTCTGTAAAGCAGAAGGACAGATTGCAGCTTAGTCAGGACACCTACACAGCCCGAGCAAGGCCTAAGTCCGAAGGCAAGCATCCCATGCCGTCAGCACCCACGTGGCCCCTCTGCGTGCCTTCGACCCTATACCCTAGCAGATGAGGAAGAAAAAGTCTTTTTTCTGATATGCAGATCTTAGCTCATCTGTGTTCAGCCCCCTTAGAAACATGTTTTATTTTCTCTGGGGGTAAAAAAAAATCAATGTTAAAGCTATATATGGTCAAAACAACTTTGCCAATGTCCGCTCTCTGCTACCTTTTAAACCAATTAAAATACCTTTCTCTGAATATTTTGTCCATTGAGATATGAAGACCTTTAAAGACTGTGGTTTTATTTGTGTGTTTACATTTATTTGGTTTGCGTAATTTGCTTGATTTATTGCATTTTTTAGTATTTCTTTTAAGCCAGATGTTTTAGTCTTTTTTTATTCATCTTTGTGACACTCATTTGTAGACGCTTAGTAAAGTCTTAGGAGAAATAAGTGGATGAGAGTTTTCCTAGTCAACTCAGTGGACTGGAAATCTTTTTTAAAATTTAAATTTCAAAAGGGTTTGCAATCAGTGGATGGCTAAAAGTTGCCATCTGAATTATTTTCTAGGACATTTTAATTGACTCCATTGTACGGAAACCAAGTGTGAATGTTAAGGTGAATTCACTGTATCCCTTTATCATCCAGTCTCCTCGTACACAAGGCTTCCATGTCACTGTGCTGGTTTGTTTCCATTTAGAAAGGTTGGTAACACAGAAATGTCTGAGTTCGGGAGTTCCAGATCAGCTCTTTGGGGAAAAAAAAAGAAAATGGCAGAAAACAAACCATTTTTCTGGGTAAAAACATTGATCATTTGGGAATGGGGTGGAAAATGGGTGTAGGACATTAACTCCAGCTGTTTTCATTTCTGAAATTTCATAACCTCAGTAGACACCAGCAAAAATGTCAGCTTTTCAATGTACTACCCCACCCTCCTCGGTGAATAAGACGAGCAACTTGCATAGAATTTAATTGGATGAGCAAACCACAGCTTTCCTAAACGGCACCTAGAGATCAGTGGAGGTTCTCATTGCCTCAAAGAAAACTTGCACTGGGGACAGAGCTTGCCTTGGTCACGCCTTCCCACACCTTCAAATTCTGAAATTCACAACCAGGTAGACCAAGCAATAGAAAAATTTGCACCACTGTGTCCCACGAAAATATTTTAATGTTTAGTTTAGATATGCTAACTTGTGCTATTAACCTTTTGAGAAGCGTGTAGTATTGTTTGTTTTGGGTTTGTTTTTCTTTTATAACCATTTAGTAGTCCCCAGCTAGCTACCAGTACAGATTTTACCCCATGGGTAGGATTCTATCGTCAAGCCACATAACAAAGCACACTAATCCAGACACTGCATATGAAAAATACGAACCAAAAAAAAAAAAAGAAATTTACACTGATACGTTGAACAAACTCTCCATTTTTGATATTTGCATGCTCCCCTATGGACTGGCTGTGGCAGAGTAATGCCTGCATAATGTTTTCAAATAAATGCTTTACAGAAAAAAAAGAGAGAGAGAGAAAAGAAAATTTCCTGAGAACCACTAAATTTGTCCTCTTACCTTTTTGTACCAAACTTCCCCAAATGCTTTGATGCCCTTTAGAATTCCACCTGCTATAAGCCTAGGCATGTCATTCCTCTGCACACCCACTGGGAAACCACCCAGGAAGTTTAAAAATCCTCCACAGGCCCAAGTCAGAGCCTGCGTCTGGTTAGAGTCGTGATGACGGCAAAGGGAGCCTCCGTGACACCCACCGTGCTGGTGGCTGCAGTTCTGAATTATTGGGCATTTTCCCAAAGAAGAACCCAATTAAATAAGAAAGAATCAAATCTATAAAATGCAAAATTGCTTCCATATTGGGAATTGCAGAGAGTTGTAGCTCCAGAGACAATTTTATAGGGTCTCCTCACATTATGGAGCTTATTAAAATCATAGATCATAGATCTGGAGGCCTGGAGGGAATTTCAGCCATATTTCCATTATTCTCCCTACCCCCTAAGTAAGATAGTCACTTTCATCTCTGGATAAAAGACAAGATGGGAGAAGAGCCTGCACAGTCATGACACTGAACTGACCCCACCATCCCTGCACTCTTCCTCACCATTCCTACCCACGTGCCCCCAGGATCCAGAGGGAGTTTATTTATCCTCACTGAGAGTTCCTGTGCTTTGTCGAAAATCCATGTTGGAAAAGCTGCACCAAGTCTTATGTCTCCTTCTTCCCTTTTCCACCGCCTCTCTCCCCTTCTAGAGAAAAGGCAATGCCATTCTGCATACGATTCCCCATACCTTTTATTCTGCTAGTTTTGTATTACTGCTACACTGGTCTTAGATCCAGGCAACTGAGCTGACACCTGGCTCAGACATTCACTAGTTACTTTACCTTGAGCAAATATCCCCTGATCCCTCATCAGTGTGCCCTGGGGTCTAGAATAAAAACAGTCTCACTCTCATAATCCAGGGAGAGCTGCCCCAGGAATCATAAAGTCTGGGTTCTTTCTAGTCTCAATTCTAGACTAACAGGCTGTGTAATGCCTGGAAAAATTTCTAAATTCCTCTGACCCTCATCATGCTCCCTATGAAGTGGAAGTAAATAATACCCATTTCACAGGGTGTTTGGAAGGGTGGATAGAAATGCTTTCTGTAAAGCACTGAAGGCATGCAGGCACTCACTTCCTTGTTATTCTGTTCTACTGCTGAGGTCCCTAGCACAGAGCCTGGGTAAACTGTCCCTGTGTTAGGCACTTCCAAGCATGTGGCCTTTTTCTCTAGGGGTTGTTCTCCTTTACAGAGTGCGCCTGGGGGATTCTATTTCTCCTAGTCAAAGTTATTGGACAGGCACAGTCATCTGACTGAAACAGGGAATCATTTTTCTCTCCAGGGAATCTAGAGTTAGGATTCAGAGACCCTGGTTAATTTCTGGTGCTTACTTTAACTGAAGACACAAATTTGAGAGACAAGGAATGGTTATATTTGGTCCATATGCAAAGAAGCAGAAAGAGCGAGATGTATGAAGGACCACTGCATTCACCTCCTCTCCTGTCCTGGGGAACAGGGATGCACCCGCAGCAGGTGAGCCAGGGGGTCCTGCATGTGCTGCGATGCATCAGATGTGAACCTGTGCGCCCCGCTGAGGAAGAGCAAGCAACCCTTGACATCCAGACTTGCTTGACACTCACAGGTAGGCCTTGGTGTTCTCCTGTTGAACACCAAATTTCACAGAATATCAACATCAGACAGGACACTCTGTGACTAGGATGGATCAAGACAAAAACAAGACCACTCCACAACTGCGTCTGAATACAGACAAAACATGAACATTGCCAACTATAAAAATGATCAAACATCCCATCCTAATTCATATGAGTGACTGCTGACTATTTACCAGTGACAGTCTTAGCTTCATCTCCTCTCCCCTTCTTCTAGATAAGATAAGCCCATGTATTTCAAACAGCCTTGAAAACAGTGACAAGCTCTTTCCACAGATGAG